CAACCTCAAACTCCTGGGCTCAAGCGATCCTCCTGCCTCAGCCTCCTGAGTAGCTGGGACTACAGGCATGCGCCACTGTGCCCGGCTAATTTTTTTCTATATAGTTTTAGTTGTCTGATTAATTTCTTTCTATTTTTAGTAGAAACGGGGTCTCGTTCTTGCTCAGGCTGGTCTTGAACTCCTGAGCTCAAACAATCCGCCCGTGAGGCAGGAGTTTGAGGTTGCAGTGAGCTATGATGATGCCACTGCACTCCAGACAGGGCAACAGAGTGAGAGCCTGTAAAAATAATAGTATCAAAGCCACTACCAACCAAAGACAGAAAGCTTTCTGTGGTATTACATTACATTGGTAGCCCCAGTGAGCCATGCCTTCCAATATTGGAAGGTACCTTGGCACAGTCCTTTCCCCTTGAATCTGGGATAGCCCTTTGACTTCCTTTAACTAAGAGTATGGTGAAACTACCAATTCTGGACCTAACCCTTAAGAAGGCCCAGCAGCTTCCACTTTTGCCCTTTTGGGAACCCTAAGAAAATGTGAAAGAAATCTGTCTACTCTGTTCGACAAATTACCCGGAAAGGCCACAAGCGAGAGAACTTGAGACTATAGGCAGAGAGACCCAGCTGTTTCAGCTGAACCAGCCCCCAGTTGATGCGGAACAGTTGGGCTAATCACAGCCCAGATTGAAGAACTGTGAGCAAATATTAATAAAAAGGGTTGTTGCTTTAATTCACACATTTTTGGGTGGTTGGTTATGCAATAGGTAATAAAAACACTTCCTTAGCTTTCCGTGGGCAACTACTGATACCCTTGGTTCTCCACAAAGCTGAAGCCTCCATTCCTTGCTCCCTGCTACCTATCTCCCAATTTTATTGCAATTGTTTGCCAGAAGCTTTCACAGCAATTACTAGGACCTAGACAAGCATTTTCTTTTATTTTTTATGGAAAAAGGTACTAGGTCTAGAAGCTGACTTTAGCCCTAGCTTTCTTACTAGTTGTATACCTTTTGAAAGTCATTAACTTTTCTCAGTTTTTGTAAAATGGGGAGATTAATGCTCACCCCACTTATCAGAGGGTAAAAAGGAGTATAACCGAGTTGAAAAGAAAATGAAATGCATTAGCAGTGCTCCCGCTCAAGGCAGGAGAGGAAATACAAAGAACGTGAACTTGATGTCATGCGAATGTTAAGATCTTGAACAAACGACTTAATATCCCCGATCCTCAGTTCTTCCTCCGTAAATGAGACTACCCTTCCCGACCTCACAGTTTTATCTGTAATGATTGAGACATTACCTGAGGACAAACCTGTTGCTAAATAAGCGCCAATTGCTCGCCATCGAACCTGAAAGTCTCCCTCCCTCATCTTCGTATTCCCCGTCCTACCCCAGAGAGTGTGACTTAGTAAGTTTGGAGTGCGCTCCAGAAAGCTTTTTTGTTTTTTCCAAACAAGCTCCCTAACGAATTCAAATGCAGGTCCCCTCGTGCCACACTGCAAAAGACTCGGCTTGCTACCACGCCCCCGCCTTCCGCCCGAAGGAGCCTCAAACTCCAGGTCTCGCGACAGTTTTTGTTCCTTCAGGCTTGGCTACAAACCGCGCGATAGGTACTTGTCCAATCACGAGACTAGATAGCTTCACAAGATGGCGGCGCGCTGGGAGCGTAACACCTGCGTTTCTAGGAGCTTCGCGCTGCGGGTGGCTTGAGATTGTGGGGTCGTACAGGCCCAAGCCAGACAGGACGTCTGGCAGGAACGTTGGCCTCAGAGGTGGGTGTTAACAGTTTTCATGCCGGTAGCGATCATGGGCCGCTTAACCACTGGATCACCCGGGTTCGTCATTCTTGGGTTTTGGGTGCATGTGTTGCTCTTTTCTGTGTCTAGGGAGAGAGACTTGATGAAGGTGTGTGTTCGCGCGCGCGCGGGGGTGTTGGGGGTGGGTGAGTGGGAGGAGTTGGCGAATAGAATAGACTAGAATTGAAGTAGGAAAGACCCCTGGGGTTTAGGAGGTTTAGAGAGATCCGAAACAGGCGGGAAGACAAACTGGGCAAGATGAGGACGTGGAAAGAGTGGAAGAGAGGGGGAACTGGCAGTGGCAGAACTAGTGGAAAAAATCGGATTTACGAGGGAAGGCGAGGGGAGAAAATGTAGATTGGGGTCGAGGTGGGAGGGATCTGTGCAGAAGGAATTCGAAGTTATGAAATCGGAATTTATTCTATTTTACAGACTTATGTATTAAGAGAAATGGTAGTTGAACAGGGTTAATGGTCAGGAGGAACCAAAAAAACAGAAGGGTGGGGATGAGAAAGATCAAAGAAAGTGGAAGTGTCAGTCTCAAGGATCTACTTTAGCTTTCTGGACTGACTCAGATAACCCAGAAGAAAAAAGTTCCAGCCCTTGGGCTGAGGTTTTTTTGAGGCTCAAGATGGGGACTGCGTGCTCAGAATGAGAGCGTGTGGTGTTTCAGTGGCCTGGGCCGTGCAGAGTTCCGTCGTGTTTTTCTTCAGCAAATAATTGAGTGCCTACTCTCCCAGGCTTTATTTTAGGCGTTGGGATATGGCAGTGAACAAGACAGACAAAATATTTTCCTTCATGAAGCTTACTGGCAGGGCAGATTTAAAAGGATAAGCAAAATATATGGGGCTACATACTATGTAGAAAACTGAAGCTAGGAGGGGAGACCAATCTGTTCATTCACTGCACATTTAAATGGGATACTCAGGAAATGCCTCAATGAAAAGGTGTCATTTGACCAAAGACATGAACAGGGTGCGTGTACCTTGTATGTATATATTTCTAGGGGGAAGGCAGTCCATGCAGACTGAACAAGTGCAAAAGCCCTGAGGCATGAGTGTGCCAGACTTGATAAACAGTAAGGATGACAACTGTGGCTAGAACAGAATGAGCCAGGAAATGTGGATGTTAGGTTAGAGAAAACTGGGGAGTAACAATGCTGATGCCAGGTAAGAGTTGACACCCATTTGAACTCTGAGGAATGGCATATATTTGGCTAAGAACCTGTTGCCTGTATTGGGAGGCTAGTTAGGAAAGAATTGGTTTTTTTTTTAATGTTCTTT